TAAAAAAATGTGCATGGTTGAACATTGTCAGAAAGTAGATTCTTGAATAGGTTTTGCCAAAATGGGTTCAAAAATGTCAATAATTAATTAAAAAATACAGTAGCTTTATAATTACTTATAACTTACCGAATTTGATGAACGACATCTTTTATTGGAAAGATGAGCTTGATGAGCTTTCATCATCGCTACTGCCTGAAGCACCAACGTCAATAATGAATGGCTCGACTTGTTCCTCTAAAATATTGTCCAGTTCCCACATTCTCTTTTCAACTTTGTATGTCACGTGCTTAATACAGTTTTCCCATTTTTGCGCTGTTATTAATTCTAGTGCTTCTTTGAAAAGTCCTTTGAGGTCACAAAATTTAAAAGTTGTATTGTGGTTAGCTATATAATTTTTAACCTCTGCCCATATGAGCTCAATGGGATTGAGCTCGCAATGGTATGGAGGTAAACGGAGCACAGTTTTATTTTGACTTGCTGCCATTTCGTCAATGGCGTATTTTTGATATTCCGCCTTGTGATCCTTGACAATTCTTAATAATTGTACTTTCAGCATTGCTTCTTCAAAGTTGATATTTTTCGAGCGGAGCCAATTTTGAACATCAACTTTCCTTGAAGCCGTTGTTGGGACCTTCTCCATTCTTCGAGAATGATAAGGCGCATTATCCAACACAATTACTGCGTTTTCCTCTAAGTTCGGTAAAATTTTTGAGAACCACTGTTCAAACGATTCGCCATTCATTTCCTCGTGGTAATCTCCAGTTTTCTTAGACTCAAAGCACCACAGACCGTCAACAACAAATCCATCCTCACTGCCAATATGGCAGATAATGAGCCTTTTCCCTTTACCTGGAAATCGAAGTACTAACTGGTGTAGATTTATTTCAATAAGCGAACCTTTTTCAAATGTTTTCATCACATTCAGCGAAAAAACATTGAGATATGAGTATCAGATTGCTATAATTGGGATTATTTAGTCATATTGAAAGAAAGAATATTGAACGTCGTATGATTACTCAGCGCTTCACAATTTAATTTAAAGTTATAAACCTTTAAAAAATGAATGATCAGGAACCTGAAATACGCGCAAATATTAATATTAACAAATTATAACTTTATAAAGCTTAAAGTATGAATTAAAATGATTAGAAATATTAGGAACGGTACACAATATAAAACTTAGTAACTTTTTTTAAGTTTATAATATTCGACATATTTTAAGATTATATTAAAAAGTTATTGAAATATCGAAAACACATAAAAACATGGCTTAAAAAAGTTCTAACAAATGAAAATGACAATAAAACATCCACGCATTTTATCGAAAGTTATAAAAGTTTTGTTACTTGTAATATGTTTTATCTGCCCCCTGGAATTAATGTTTAGAACCTTGTTCCCAAGGTTTGAAAAACATCCGATTGTTGTCTATTACTCGTATTTACCTGCTGGATTTTTTAATCCGGTGGACAGTCCATCTAGAAAGGCCCTCCTGCATGAAGTTACAGAATCATCAACCCATACTTTACTTGTAGTGTGTCCTGCGTTTACCCACGTTTCATCAAGGTAATAAATCTTCCTGTTTTGATTTCTATATTTCCCAATTTTTGTTAAATAATCCCTCCTCCATAGCACAATTTCTTCTCTATCCAGTAGTAAACTATTACGACCCCGTTTTTTCCATTTGAAATTTAAATGCTTCAGTAACGCATGGAAAGTTGATCGTTTGAAATTTGGCAACGTTGTATCTCCATTTACCTCCTGCAGTACTTTATCTATAGTAGGTATTTCATTCCTAAAGAAGAATTCATGCACTTTCCTCCTAATCGCATGCTTATCAGCTTCATCCAATGATTTAACAATACTTTTGCGATGTTTACTGGTCATTGGCTCAGAAAAGGTGTAATTTTTTTTGTATTGTCTTAACACATTAAACACTGATGCGCGACACAGCCCAACTTTGTGAGAAACCTTCACAACAATTTCTTTGATGGTTGATGCCTCGTTCTCCTCGCGCTCGATCTTATATACTCGTATATTCAAAATGACCTCTTCCATTTCTGCACTCAGGTGTCTTTTTTTAGAGCGTTTCCTAGGTGGACTACAGGAGTTTACAACTTCATCGGCAGTATTTGTACTACTGGGCATTTTGCGCAAGCAGTTGATAACAATAACAATCAATAACAAGGTATAACAATAACAACGACAAACTCAACAACTTAATAAGATAACAAACGAAAACGTCCAAAGAAATATCAAATTGCAATGATGCACACGACATACGTAACACGTCTGAACCTGAATGTGACTCTGCCTTGATACGACTGCTCTGCCGCTCGGCATAGGCCTTTAATTGTGAATTGACCAATGAGGGCTCCTGTTTTACGTCGAGACGGCGGCGTTAGCGTGAAAATCGCCCGAACCTTTTGTTTACATCCGGTCTATCTCTTATCTGAATATACTGTAAATAATGATCTGCTCTCTCGTTACCCGGTACTCCACTGTGTCCGGGTCCACTTCTTTAGAGCTGGCTAAGCTCTGACGAGCAGTAGTGCATTCCTGAACTAAAGGTGAACTTGTCATCGGTACCAGAGAGTTGATATCAATTAGTCGGTTTAGAGACATTTTGAGGAAGTGGCTGATAACAATCAGCCCGACATAAAATACTTTTTGAACAAATTACATATACGAATTCATCTACTCAACCGCTGGTGATAATTGGAGAGCGGGAGCAGCAATAAGAAAGCACCTCATTTAAAAACGACTTGAGATCTGAGAATGGGATTGTTTGACGGAAAACCTCCGAGCTTCTGGGTGCGAGGTGACGTACTCTGAATGCCACCTTGGCGTGATTGTTGTTTTGAATTCAAAGTTGATTCTACAAACCGCCGAATTTGCGTCCGCTAAAAGACTGGACATGCTTTAAGAAATGGGATTCCGCTCTTCAAAAGCCAGAACATACTTGTACAGAAATCTTGCTTAATTTAGAAGTCAGTAATTTGGAATGCCAGAAGCGTGCAAGAGGTATCTCGACGCTATTCCGTCTTCACCCTAAAGGCAAACAGGGCCGTGCTTCATGAGGGGCGCCAAATGCCAAAAATTTCCAGCCAGCTCTCCAATTTCCTCAGTGCCTGAATGCGGATCCCGAGGAGTCATACAGGCGATGAGCCCCCCTCCCGTAGGCGAATCATCGAGATCCAGCACTAATATTTTCCGCACCACCCCCTCCCCCTGAAGCATTTAGTCCTAGTAGCTTATGAACCAGTGTTACCGTTTTGCCAGTACTAACTGGCATTTGATAGGAATGAGGGTACTTGCCAGTAACATTGCCAGGGTACATGCTTGACAGGAATTTGTCGACATATTTGCACATTTTACTTTAGTCAGTCACATACAATGCTGTGAGTCTTTCCTGTCATTTTTGTTAATCATTTAGTTATTTGTCTCTCTCGCTTTTCTCTTGTAATCTCATGTCTTGTGCTCTCTAGTTGTTGGTCGGTTTTCCTTCCATGTTTTCGTTTTTGGCACATTTACATTCCCTATTCCATTTTTATATTTAAACGGTTTTAGAAACAGCAACAACATTATCATGGGTGCACTGTTTCTGTGTATGTCTTTTCAAAAATGTTTAACAAGCTACAGGAATTACTTTCATAAGCCCATCTCCCTCATAAAAACCATGCCGGTCTAGTAGAGAGTGGTTGTGGTTCAATACCATTACATAGGGTAGTGCAGAAATAGAATATCTGATGCTCAGGGCGCCGATACTCACGTGTCAACAAGTAAGTTGAGTAATCAGCAAACAGATACGGAAATCCAAGCAAAAAACAGAATTAAAAAGAACAATTAAATTTACCTTTTAAATTCTCACAAACCGTTGATGGAACGTCAAATTGCATAACACTCTTAAATTTCCACTTGTCATTTGTCATAGATAAAGTAATCTGTCAGGTTCAACACGGTTATGGTAGTTAATACTAGCCATATTCTAGGCTAGCTGTGATTTCATCTTAGGCAATTTTTTGGAATAATCATTGTTACATCTGTACCTTTTACAGAAATATACAGATGATTCAGAAAAGCATGCTACATTTTCTAGGGCAGAAGATAGACCTCAAAATAACACGAAAAGTTCTTATAAACATGAGTTCGAGGTACAAAAGAAAATAATTTTTGACGTCACTGACTTTTTTGGAACACTTTGAATGAGGTACTTAATGAAAAATGTTTGTCAAACTACTTACTCATTTTGGAGAAAAATTGGTTTGAAATTTTAGGTAAAATCCGTATAAAAACGAGAGGATATAGAGTGAACGACAGCTAGTTTCAAGTTGTCATTTAGTAGGAAAAATATGGCATTACATAAGAAATCTAACATAATGTCTCAAAATTCTTAGATAGTGTCAAAATTCTTACCTGCCGACCTCTCCATAGGGTTATTTGAAAAATATCCATGTTTTGTCCTTATTCATGAATTTGCAACACTCTGTATCTTGTTTTTTTTTTGTTATTTTTGAATGTACTATCTCTACTCAATAAATACTGCCAACCTATTCTACATCACCGTGTATAATTTTTATCACAACTCGTTCGAAATTCTTTGGGCACTTAACATAACGGGACAGTTTTATTTTTAGAGTTGTCATCAATTCCTCCTAAATTATTATACTATCCAAGAATGTATATAAATGCAGCTTTGTTATTTTTTCGCCACTTGTTTATCAATAAATATGAGAGTAAACTTAGTTAAGACTGTTACCGATATTTTTTAAATTTTGCTTGCAGTATATCTGGAGCTCATCACTGCCCAATCAGCTGATTCCAATTTGAACATTCGACGACCGTTGAAAACCTGTTCTTAACCATAATCAATTTTTCAGAGCATTTGTTTATAATACTTTTATAATATTTATGCATGAAGTTATTGTGGGAAATTCTCACAGCCACCTGGCTACAAATCATTTATAGATTCCGGCTATCATAACCTTCAAATCAAACCTTACTTTACAACCAGTAAAATGCCTTTCACGGTAGAACTCAGAAGAATTTTTCTTCGCACAACCTCAATATTTCAGGTAAAAACACCTAGTTTCTGTGATAACACCGCGTAAATTCCACAACAACAACCTATTTAAATCGAATTCGGGAACGTGCCTTTCGTAGGTAAAACAGATCAACTGATCAACCGGCGTAGCAAGACTGCCTTTTCGCCGCGTGCTGCGTGGTCGCGGCGTGCAAACGCTCGCGCACCGTTGCCAAATCGTTCTGATAAAATTCTTACCAAAGAGGCTTCTACATTTTCAAATATAGTCGGTGATGCTGCATACAGCCTAAGCAACAACAGCGTAAGGGACACAAGGCAAAACAAGAATTAAGTCGACCAAATACGTATTGATGAAGAAAACAATTTGTTCACCCTCCAACAAGAATTATTACTACCATCTTACGCGGTTTTCACGTGATATACCTAGTATCTAAGATGATATTTTAATCATTGAAGCGTTTTGAGAGTGCATATCCTGCCGTAAAAAATTCTTGCAGGCCGCCAAGGTTGCATCATTATAAAACATGTCTGACAAAATGGTCAATGCGAAAAAGCACAGAAGCTCAGAAAAGCCAAAGAAACTGTAAATATACCATGACCAAAGGCTCCGCGGCTCTCCTCCATTCATCTAGTGATTTCAATGATCGCTGATTTCCTGTTTGGTTTAATTGCTTTTATTTGAAGACAACATTGGTGGTTAAGTGTTAACTTTTTTAAAAGACAACATTGGTGGTTAAGAGTTAACTTTTTTAAAAGTATTAATGATCAAAAAGACATACAGTCGGTCTAAATCGAAGGGAAAGTAAATCTGATTTCCGTAGCTTGGTCCGCCTTCGCTGTTCTAGTCATACAGCTAGTACATAGTAAAATCAGTCCTTTCAGTACCGAAACCGCAGACGAGGTGGCATCTTATCACAGCCTACTAGTATGTTTTTTCAACTATTGAGTAACATGCCAGTAGTGCATGACCGAGTTGACATCTAATTTATCTTGGATGGACCGTAGAAGCGATGATCTTATGATTCCGGCCAGCTCTTCGAAAATACTCTTATTTCTTATAGTGTGATTAAAATATGCTGTCCATGGAGAATTCATTTATCAATGATACCACATAATCGTGACTGTATATTGTCAATAATAGAGATAACATCAACATACATTTTATTCTTTATTTGAACCAAAATAACCGTAACCAGAAGCCAGACTTACCCAAAAACTTTGTCTTATATCGAGTATTTTTCAAAGAAATTCCTAAAAATCGTATTTCTAGGGTAAATCTCCTGATCTGGCAACCCCTGCGCCGGCTATCGGATCGGCGAATGTTCAGCCGGTACTGGTCGAGATCGAGACGGCGGCAACGCCACGCCGCCTGCGACCGATCAACAACAACAACCGGCAAGCCGTAGAGCGCAGCGAAGCAATCGGGGAGATCCGAAAAAGAAGTCGCCGGTACGCCAGTCTGCGTTTATACAGGGTGGAACATAGTACCACCTGGTGCAGGTGAACAGGTGCGTGGGGTTGTGCAAGCGAGAAATACCCCAGTCCTGACAAAGGAGGAGAAAGGAGAGCAATCAGTCACCAGCATTCTGCAGCGCGGAAGATAGTACTACCTGGTGCACTTGCAAAGGTACGTAGGGTTGGACAGGCAGGAAATATCCCAGATAATAGAATAGTAATCTGGGATAATTCAAAAATTAAGGCACACGATATGGTAGTCTGCGTTTATAAAGCACAGAAGATGGTACTAGCTGCTGCAGGTGCATCAGAATTGGCAGGTGGGAAATATCTCAGTTCTTAGGAGGTAGAAGGAGAGCAACCAAGGATATTCCAGAAAGTAACATCAGCCGCTTCGATACGGCCATCTGCGTTCATACATCGCAGAAGATGGTACTACCTGGTACAGGTGCAGGCGGGAAATAGCTCAGTTCTGAGGAGCTAAGAGGACAGCACTGGGGCATATTCAAAAAGGCACCATCCGGTACTACAGTCTGTGTTTATTCAGAGAGGAAGGTGGTACTACCTGTGGTCCATTAGTGATTGGAAGCGGGAAATACCTCAGTCGTGACACTGAGGAGGAAAAAGGAGAGCAACCGTGAATAATAGAAAAATCGGTCACCAGCATTCTGCAACGCAGAAGATGGTACTACCTGGTGCACGTGAAAAGGTGCGTGGGGCTGGGCAGGCAGGAAACATAACAGTCCTGGGGAGATAATAGAAAATCAAGGATATTCCAAAAATTAATACAATAGCCGCTACGATACGGCAGTGTGCGCTTATACAGCGCAGAAGATCGTACTACCTGGTACAGGTGCATGTGAATAATTGGCAGGCGGGAAATAGCTCAGTTCTGAGGAAGTAAGAGGTGACCAATTGGGATTGTTCAAAAAAGTCTGCATTTATTCGGAGCGAAAAATGGTACTACATGATAGAGGTTGAGGTTGGGAAGGCAGAAGATATCCCAGATAGAGATAGAGATAAAGGGATAGTAATCGGGGATATTCCAAAAATTACCTCATAGACGCTTCAATACGGTAGTTTGCGTTTATGCGGAGCGGAAGATGGTACTACCTGGTGCAAGTGAACAGGTCGTGAGGTTGGACAGGAGGGAAATATCTCAGCCCTGACGAGATAAAAGGAGAGAAATCGGGGTCTGCGTTTATTCGAAGCGGAAAATGGTACTACCTGACACAGGTGAACAGGTGTTTCGGCTTGAGCAGACAGGAGAGATATCATAATCCCTGGGGAGATAAAAGGAGAATAATGATTGGCAGGCGGAAGATGACACTACGTGGTGCAAGTAAGCAAGTGCTTGGGGTTGAGCTGGCGGGAAATTTGCCAATCCCGAGGAGATAAATTGTGAGCAACCAGGGATATTCCAAAAAGTAGGTCTCCAGCCGGTATGATACGACAGTCTTATGAACACAGCGCGGAAGATGGTACTACCTAGTGCATATGCATGAGGTTTGGCATTCGAGAAATATCTCCATTCTAAGAGAAAAGGAGAGCAATCAATGTTATCCAAAAAATTAAGTCGTCAGTCACCACGATATGGCAGCCTGCGTTCTTACAGCGCAGAAGATGGTACTACCTAGTTCAGGTGCAAAGGTGCTTGGGGTTGGGCAGTCAGAAAACATCCAAGTCCTGGGGAGATGAAAAGATAGTGATCGGGGATATTCCAAAAATTAAGTCATCAGCGTTTATATAGCGGAGAAGATGGTACTACCTGGTGCAGGTCCATGAAAAATGGCAGGCGGGAAACAGCTCAGTTCGTAACAGGTAAAAGGGGAGCAATCGGGGATATTAAAAAATTAATTAATAATTACCAGCCGATACCGCACTCTGCGGTTAACGGAGCCGAAGGTGGTACTACCTGGGCAAACTGAACAGGCGCGTTTGATTGGGCATATGAGAGGAGATGAAAGAAGAACAACCGGGATATTGCAAAAATTCTTCAGCCGGTACTTATATATATCTCAGTTCTAAGGAGTTTAAAGGTTAGCAATTAAAAAATCTGTCACCAACAGCTACGATACAGCAGTCTGCGTTTATAATGGCTGAAGATGGTACTACCTGGTGTAGGTAAACAGGAGCGAGGGGATGGGCACGTTGACAGGCACGTGTACAAGAATCTTTTGTGAAGGCCACCCGCACAACGTAGCGGAACAGAATTTGGAAAGCAATTTTGAACAGAACATTTATGGTTGTCGTAACAGGACATTTTTTGTTTGTTTGTTGTCTTTGTGCACGAACAAAATATTGTGCACACATTTACCCTACCATCCACAGAAAATACTCTACTGCCTACCTTGCTTGCTAGAAATTAAGATTCTGAAGTTGTGTCCAACGAGTTTGAGCGTCGCCTTTTTTCCGCATAAATATGGTGAAAAGCTTCTATATATTTTTCTGTGGCTACCAGTTCGAAGTCTATCCGAAACAGAAATCCACAAATGAGGGAAGGATCATAGTGTTCTCTAGGAATCAAGATGTATGCTTCGCTCTTTCAAATAAGTCAAAAAAGTTCTTAAACGCTTTCATCCAAATTAGGGATATCCGAGTAATCAAAAAGCATTACAAAACGAGTACGAACACTTTTAAACGTCTCAGCGTATTATTAATATAATTTCTATTGACCTCCAAACCATACCGAAGTCACACACTAACATTATCACGACCACAACTCCTATAATTTATTCTTCAGACTCCGCTTTTATGCGTTTTCATAGCTTCTGATAAAGAAAAAAAATTGTTTTCATGTTACATGGAATGTTCTCCCTAACACCTGTAATCTTTTTTAAACGTTTTTGCTAGTTTTCAGACTTCCATTAATTCAACACGACTAAAGGACAGCCCATTGTCGTATTTTGGTGGCACCCGAGCGTAGGAAGTCAGACATTCTCTTACCGAGACCAGATTACATTTACAAACCGCATGTTTTCATACGTACGACAATATTACAAGATCAACTTATCACCTAGTTATAGGTAAAAGAAAGGTACAGAAGGCGCTCCCATGTGCCGAGACTTTTTCAAATTTCTGGTACCGTGGTATGGATAATGTTACTGTGTTACTAATAGCTAAAGAGCTACTAAGTACTTTTGATAAATAATTTATAAAGAGCTATAGATATTTGGTATACTTACAACTATTTATTCAACTCCCACGTAAACGTTAATGGAAGTTTTTACTGCCTCTTTAACAAACAAAGAAATGTTGAAAGAACGACCATCACCCAGTTTTATAGGGTTGTCCCTACAAGTGACACTAGGCGTTTTGTGCAGTTTAGACTGGAATGAATTTATTTTATAAGATAGTCTATGCATTCAGTTTTGACATACAATAAAAGTGGCTGTACTCGCCACGCCACGCTGTTATCAGTCTGCAAAGGATTCTGTTTGGTTCAAGCTCTTCTAAGAAAAAGGATAGCTACGAACATATATAACGAAGAGTTAAATGATATTCCCTTTCCCCTGAGAGACATTCCGCGTGAATCGTATTTCGTACCCCCTTGCGCATGGCGTCACGCGGTGACAAATGGTCTGCCCGTCAGGATGAAATGCATTGTATTAGAGCGTTTTCTTTTGAGTATTTGCCTAACATTTTTTTGTTATCGATTTTACTTAATAATCGTAGTAGATACTATATAGGGTGACTTTGAAGTTGAGTCATTAATTTTCAGATAATGATTGTAGAAGGAAGATAAACCAAAATATGTGTGTAAAAATATAAAAAAAATAAAAAACAAACGTTACCTTGTTTTATAAAGTATCCTCCCGACAAGTAT